TATCTATCTATCTATCTATCTATCTATCTATCTATCTATCTATCTATCTATTCACTTTACATCCTAATTGTAGCCCCCTCCCTCTTCTCTTCCAGCACCCCTTCCCTCTCCCTCATCCCCCTTCCCCTCAGAAATGGGGATCCCTCCCATATCAAGCCACACATCAAATCACATCAGGACTGAGTGCCTCCTCTTCCTTGGTGGCCTGGCAAGGCAGCCCCACTGGGGGGGAGTGGCCGAAGAGAGTCGGCTAAGAGACGTTTTATGTTTATTTTTAGTTCTCCAACCCAAATGTTTTCCTTCAAAATTTATAATGCAAACAATTCAAAATACACTATCTACATTTATACAACTTTCAAAGAATAAATAGAAAATATTATTTCTTAAAACATTATGAGGACACCAGGCAAATTTCTGAAGCAGGGAGTCGAACAACAGTTCTACCCAGCTATGACGCCTACGAAACAGACTGATGCGGCACAGTAACCCTGTAGGGCCAGTCGTGGCACATGTACCTTGGCAGTAACCAAAAGTTTTCAAATTGGACTTAAAATCTGTTCGACAAGAGGGAAATCGTTGGTACTAGAGCCAACCCTAGTAAAGTCATGCTTATTGGAGAATTTACAACTCCTAATTCACCAAACCAACATAATCCCTAACGACAGTCTGTAAACATTTGTCCTTGTGCCACAGGTCAGTGTGACCTTTACTCCTCATCAAGAAAACTTCTTTGCAGCAGATGGAGGACACTACAGAAAAGCACGACCAATCAAAATTCAGACTTGTGGAGGCCAGCCCCAATGGAAACATCTACAGAATACTCCTGCACCTGAGGCTTAGGAGACATTGGAAAAAGAGAGATGGAAAGACTGTAAGAGCCAGAGGATTGGGGACTTTGCCGTAAGGTTGTGTTTCCTAATAATGTTGGGAGCTACCCACATAAAGTCTCACCAATGGCTCAATTCCCAGCACCTCAAAAACACACACACAAAAAAAAAACAACCCACAATTAAGACGATTGTTTTGCCTCTAAGCTGTTTCAAGCATAGTGTTTCGAGCATGGATCACAGGGGTGGAGCGATGGCTCTGTGGTGAAGAGGGCTTGCTGCTTTTGCCTTGGTTCCCAGCACTCGCGCGGTGGCTCACACAGCTCTGCTTCTAAGGGCTCTGATGCCCTCTTCTGGCCTCTGAAGGCACCAGGACCTAACAGGGTGAGCATACACACACGCATGCAAACACTCATATGCATAAAGAGAAAAGTCGTGGGGCTGGAGAGGTGGCTCAGCGGTTAAGAGCACTGGCTGCTCTTCCAGAGGACCCTGGTTCAAGTCCCAGCACCCACATGGTGGTTCCAGTTCTAAGGGGTCTGATACCTTCATGCAGATGTATATGCAGGTGAAACACTAGTGCATGTGAAATAAAAACCAGTAAGTTAAAAAAAAATAAAAATCTTAAAACAACAACAATAACAACAAAAACCCCAAAATACACAGACCAGAGGTCAGAGAGATGGCAGAGCGGTTAAGAGCTTGTGCTGCTCGTGCAGAGGGCTAGAGTTTCCTTCCCAGAACCCATTTTCAGCAGCTTTCAACTGCCTGTAACTTCAGATCTGGGGGGATCCGATGCCTCTGGCTTTCACAGGCACCTGCACTCATACATGCGAACACACACACACACACACACACACACACACACACACACACACACACTAAAGCAGGAGGTTTTTCGGCTTTATGTGATTGATTTCTTTTCTCCCCTGAGACAAGGTTTCTCTGTTTAACAGAGCCCTTGGCTGTCCTGGACTTGCTTTGTAGACCAGGGTGGCCTCAAAACTCACAGAGATCTGCCTGCCTCTGCCTCTAGAGTGCTGGAGTTAAAGGCGTGCACCACTATGCCCGGGCATGATTGATTTTTTTTTTAATCCAATTGATTTATTGGCAATGTCTTTGCTCATAGAATCTTTTCCTTCTGTCCCCTCTGTCTGTCCCTCTGTCTGCCAGACACCCCCCTCCTGCCCTTTTGTCCCTCCCTCTCTTCTCATCCCTCTTTTTTTTTTGAGACAGGGTCTTGCTATATAGCTCAAGGCTGGCCACATCTGGCAGCCATTTTCATTGGTGGATTTTACAGTTAGTAAATTCTGTGTTTGGCATGAATCCTTTCAGATGGAGTCTTGAGGTACATACGTGAGATGAACCACAGCAAGTGAAAGTTCATACTCCTAGGGGTTTTCTATTCCCTCCACATTGCTCTAAAATCCTAGCCTCCCCCCCCAAAACCAACCAACCAACCAATAAACAAAACATCCTCTAAGAACTGGCAGAGATTCTTCTGTCATGTGAGGTGAAGACCAGCGACAGGGAAAGGTTCTTCTCTGAAGTACTGTTCAAAAAAAAAAAAAAATTGCTCCCAGAGGCCTCCTCAAATTCATATGAAAGACACAGAAGCTGAAAGAGAAAAGAGACTGAATTCCCCAAGCCACATCTTCTCTACAAGTTTCTTCTTTTTTTTCTTCTTTTTAAAAAAGGTCTTGTTAAACTTAGAGAGTTTCCTGTTAAAGTCTGAATCATAAAAGACATGTTAAGAATCTTACTAGAATTCAAAGCTCCTTTTTTTTTTTTAAATGCAAATCTAAATGCCATTTTATGGAACATTTATAATTATGAAAATGGAAAGACATCGCCTCGTGTTCGGGGAGAGTCTCTGCGTATGAATATTACATTAATGTGCCCACACCAGCTCACTGATCCTGCCGGCAGGAGCATAAAAAATGCTTGAGTGAAACTTTTATTTAGATGCGAAGACTCCAGGCCCCAGCGGGGTGACAGAGACAGCCCCTGTGAGTTGCCATCAGAGACAGAGCTTGAATTGAATTACCCAGGGGGGAGGAAGTAGCGATGAGCACGCTTCGCTTATTTAATTTCATTTACTTTCAGTACATTATCAGCATGAGGCTTTTCTCTCCCCGCCAAGTGAAACCCAAGAACGCCAACAACCAAGAAAACAAAGGCCTAATGCAGCAGAGACGTCTGAACTCCAAGTCACTAATTCCAGGCCTGTAGGGAGAGTACTATCCCCGCCTCCTCTCCTCCAGAGTCAAACTCAGCTTGCTAAAATCTGGGCCCTTGAACGAGTTGCTGGATTTCTCACTTGGCTGTTCACCGACAGGATCCTGAAGAGCTGGGGATGTTTTTTTATACGCCATGCTTTTGTATGTCAACAGTCAGACTGTTGCTTCCTAATGCATTTGAGGCTTTTTGTATTT